GGAGGAAGAGGAAGAAGGGGAGGAGGAGGAAAGAAGGAGGAGGAAGAGGAAGAAGGGGAGAAGGGGAAGGAGGAGGAGGAAGAAGGGGAGGAGGATGGAAGAAGGAGGAAGAGGAGGAAAGAAGGGGAGGAGGAGAGGGGAAGGAGGAGGAAGAGGAGCAGAAGGGGAGGGGAAGGAGGAGGAAGAGGAAGAAGGGGAGGAGGAGGAGGGAAGAAGGAGGAAGAGAACAAGGAGAGAAGGGGAAGGGGGAGGAGCAGAAGGGGAGGAAGAGGAAGAAGGAGGAAGAGGAAGAAGGGGAGAAGGAGAGGGGAAGGAGGAGGAAGAAGAGCAGAAGGAGAGGGGAATGAGGAGGAAGAAGGGGAGGAGGAGGAAGAGGAGGAAGAAGGGGAGAAGGGGAATGAGGAGGTGGAGGGAAGAAGAAGGAGGAAGAGGAGGAAGGGGAGGAGGAGAGGGGAAGGAGGAGGAAGAGGAAGAAGGGGAGGAGGAGGAGGGAAGAAGGAGGAAGAGAACAAGGAGAGAAGGGGAAGGGGGAGGAGCAGAAGGGGAGGAAGAGGAAGAAGGAGGAAGAGGAAGAAGGGGAGAAGGAGAGGGGAAGGAGGAGGAAGAAGAGCAGAAGGAGAGGGGAATGAGGAGGAAGAAGGGGAGGAGGAGGAAGAGGAGGAAGAAGGGGAGAAGGGGAATGAGGAGGTGGAGGGAAGAAGAAGGAGGAAGAGGAGGAAGGGGAGGAGGAGAGGGGAAGGAGGAGGAGCAGAAGGGGAGGGGAAGGAGGAAGAGGAGGAAGAGTGGGAAAGGAGGAGGAAGAGGAGCAGAAGGAGAGGGGAAGGAGGAGGAAGAGGAAGGAGGAGGGAAGAAAGAGGAAGAGGAGGAAGAAAGGGAGAAGGGGAAGGAGGAGGAGGAGGAAGAGGAGGGGGAGAAGGAGGAAGGGGAGGGAGGAGGAGGAGGGAGGGGAGGAAGAAGGGGAGGAGTGGGAGGAGAAAGAGCGGAGGGGGAGAAAGAAGAGGAAGGGAGAGGAGGAAGGAGCAACAACAGGAGATTCTTGCAAGGATCTGACTTGAAAGGCTCAGTTACTGTTGCCCATCTCAAAAGTTTTCCACCTTCTGCAGACCCGATTTCCTCTTCTGGTCCGCAAGAGCAAAAGAAATCCCTTCATGCGTTTATCCATCTCCCTTCCAGGCAGGCTCACCTCTTTCCCCACTTCTGGATGGAGGAGATCAGGTGCTCGGTGACCCTTTGGATCCTCTGCATGTTTCCATGGCAGCAGCTCAGGAGGAGGGGCAGCCGGGACTGGGTGACCAAACAGCCGCTCTCCTTGGGGTTGGGGGTCCTGCTTTCCGATTCCGCCAGGATGAGCCCCACCAAGCTCAGCAGCTCGGAGGTCCTCAGGCGCAGCACGAACTCTTCCCGGCGTTTCTGTCAGCGGTCAGAGGGGAGGGATTAGGCAGGCGCAAAGGGGAAGGGATCCCGAGGGTTCGGAAGATCGAAACGGATCCAATGGAGACTCAGCTCAGATCAAAGCAAGTCACCGAATCGGATCCAGATCATTCAAAAGTAGGGTTTATGCAAAGAAACATCTGAATTGACTGGAAAAGATCAACTGCACAGTTCGACGGAGTCTCNGCCTAATCTGTGGGATCTAATCGGTCTATTGGAGGTGATAACAATAGGACTTAGAATTATATACCGCTCTCTTAGCAGCTGATGTGGCCTGCCAGCGACCAGCAGAGCTGGTAGCAGAGTCGGACAGTGAGGAGGTTGGGGAGGAACATGGGCCAGTCCAGGAGGCTGGGGAAGGCTCGGACGGGGGCTCTGGGTGGGAGGCAGAGGTAGGATCAAGGCCGTCTAGCAGTTCTCAGCTGCCTTCGGTGCTAGACAGCAGTGAGGCAGAGGAACAGCTGGAGCCTGTTCCCAGGTCTCTTGAAAGACTGTTTGCCAGGACTTTGCTGGAGAGGAATTCACTTTAAACTAAAGAAAAGGGGTTTTATTGGGATGAGGAGTCAGCTTCGTGCTTTTGGGAAGACCAACAACCCAATGGAAACACTGGCTATGAGACAAAGGGACATAATTCAGCCTTGGCAAAGTTGTGTAGATTCAAAGGCCAACTAAATTATCCCTAAATTATCATCTTTAGCTTTGGATGCAGTTGTGTTATTCCAGATGGAGCTGGCTTGCAATTTGTCTATTGGACTCGCAACTTCTCCTTCTTGTAAATTACAGATGGGATGCCAGTTGCGTCCATTCCTGGATCAGGGAGCTTTGTGAACAGTTAATTCCTATCTTGTCACCTCACAGCTGGATTATTGTAATTCACTATATATGAGGCCGTCTTTAAAGACCGCGGTTTTATTTTAATGTACAGGTAGTCCTCAACTTACAACCACAATTTATGTTGTTAAGTGAGAAATTAGTTACGTGAGTTTTGACCCATTTTATGACTTTTCTCGCCACATTTGTTAAGTGAATCACTGCAGTTCTTAAATTAGTAACACGGCTGTTAAGTGAATCTGGTTTCCCCAATGACTTTGCTTGTCAGAAGGTCACAAAAGGGGATCGCATGACTGTGGGACACTGCAACCGTCATAACTGTGAGTCAGTTGTCAAGCATCCAAATGTAAATCACCTGACATGGGGATGCTACAGTGGTCATAAGTGTGAATAATGGTCATAAGTCACTTTTTGGTGCCGTTGTAACTTAGAATGGTCACTAAATGAACGGTTGTAAGTCGAGGACTACCTGTATTTATTGTTTGATAAGATCCAGTCAAAACTGGTTGGAATATAATCCTGGAAAAAAAAACCAGTAAATATGTGAATAAATCAAAGCAATAAGATTAAAAGGCTGAATCTTTTAAAGAGCACTTTATTTAAATGCATCCTAACTGATGGATTTTACTTAATGACTCAAAGCAGAGAGCTATTATGGTCTAAATTGGTAAGAAAGTTATAATTTGCTTTTTACATTTTGGATTTCGAATGTGTGTGTGTGTGTGTGTGTGTGTGTGTGTGTGTGTGTGTGTGTGTGTTGTTTTTTAACCAAAGGATACCAATGTAATTAGAAAACCAGTATTGTATTCAAATGTATTTGTTTTCTCTGCTGAG